ATTAAACACGAAACTGTAAACGTTCTAATTTTAACTTGGTCATTTCGGGAAGTAAACACTTACTCACAATTGATCGCAATCACTGATTAAATCAGCAATTATTATGATTATCTAAATGACAGATACAGAACGTGTTGCACACTGGTGTCACCCTTCAATTCCAATTTAATACTCATCATTCGTCGTCATCTATAGAAACATCACGTAGATTTGGGATGGAGTTGAAGCATCACTTGCACGAACACGACCTGATGTCTTAACTGTATGTTACTATAAATGTTTATAGAACGTGAAAAGAAGGAAAAAAAAATGATAGAACAGGAGTCCGGGGTGTCCCGGAAGCTCCGGAGATTTAGGGATTTATTATAGTTATTAATAGATTTTAGAGTTTCAATCTGTAAATTATTACTTACTAATATTGTGCTTCCGAAGGTGTTGGGCTCCCCACAGGGGTAGGAGAGGCGCTCTCCGAGGCCCCCAATGACGCCACCACTTGCTGAACTGCAGATTCTATGAATCCCCATGGGCGTGTGATCTAAAATTTCTTAGTTGTACTGTACTTTTTACAAGCAATGTGTTAGTTAATACTTGTTTTAATTTATTACAGAATATGGTATTTCTAAAAATATTTTAGTTTAAATGTGTCATTGTGATATCCAAATAAAACAGCAAAATATTAGGCTATCATTCCATGTTCTAACATCAGTAGCATATCTACTACGTACGGCTGTAAGGGACCATACTAGACTCTCTAACCTAGTTTAGACTTGAAAGTTTAAGTGACGTCACTTCCTCTCAAATTACCACTTATTTACATAGCTTCTCGATAGCGGTGATAGAACTTCTATCTATAACAAACCCACGGTTCCACGAACTATAATATTGCAAGTAACTAGATATCTTGGCTTAAATGTAATAATGTTATAAATGTTATTATGCTCCTCATCGCAAGCTTTTGGGAAGGATCAACATCGCTGATTTTCATGGAATGAACATTTAAAGCAACTACTGTAGTACATTTTCTTGGTATATTAAATAATATGCCTATATATAGATAATCACCAAATAGATTTACGAAAGGGCATTGATCTAATAATAATAATTATTATTATTATTATTATTATTATTATTATTATTATTATTATTACTATAAATTATAAATATAAGTAAATCAGTGAGCGTTTTACAAGCGAACTCTAGATGTCATGAATGCGGATGGACACGTTAATCCTGAATATCTTGCGGGTGCGTTTTAGACCAACGTATTTAAAAAAAAAAATGTGTACATGTATTTCAATAACTGTAGGCATATAAATATAGCGCTAAATTAGTCAATATTGTATGTGTGTTATAAGTGCGAAAATATTTCGTGACTTATAAATCATGGGCCTGTTGCTGCGGTTTAACCTGTCGGCATAGTAGGCTATTGAAATATCTGACCGTTTTCCTGTGGTTCTAACCCGAATTCTCTATTTAGTGTATCGTTTGCCACATATACAAGAGGAATTCTGTGGTAATTTATCCTTTGTGGGTGTACAGATGAAATGGAGATTTTGGCTACATACCGTTTAGTCTCAACCTACCATAGCATTCGCGTGTACAAAGCCACTTCTGGAACGCTTTGGAAACGCTAATGAGCCATTACCCGCTCCTTGATAGCCAATAGCTAAAGGAATCTCGAATGATTGTTTTAACATGAACGAACGAAATATACAGCGATAGGTGGTCGTTTCAGACTTTTAGCGGCTTTAATATAATAATTTAAGCCTATAGAATTTCAGTATCATCATGTCTCCCTGAACATTATTTAATTTAGATCCATCTGGCTGCAAAGCTCAAGTTCATTTTACGATAAGAGTTAAAGGCAGCTGCTAGAATTCGATGTTATCGCAGGTTCATGTAATTGTAACAAGAAGTCATTATAATTAATTAATTAATTAATTATATTATATAATTAAAAACATTTAAAAACAAATTAGGAAGAAATCCAATATAATTACGGGTTCGAATGTAAGGGAAGTTTTTTTTTTATTTTAGTTTTTTTTTATTTTTTTTATTTTGTTTTTTGTTTTGTTTTTAGGGCATCGCCCTAAAGGAAATCCAAAGACCTAGGCCTACATAAATGTAAAAAATAGTAAATACAGCTGTGTAGGCAAGATTGGTAAAGTACAGATGGAAATGAGTGGTGAGGGTCAGAAAGTGGAAGCGCTTGTGGGTTGCAGTGTGAAATGATCATTAGTCTCAATTATATTGACAACCGTAATACAGGCTAAGAACCGTCCTTCTCCCTGGCTATGCTGCTAAATGGCGATGATATGAAAATAAGTCGAAATCTTTAATCCACTTTACCCCTGTTCTTAATAGGATGTCCATGATCAAAACACCATTAATGCTTGGCAAAGGGAGGTCTTACATGGAACGCCAAAAGAACAAGTTTGACCGACTCTTCTTTAAAATCGACTGTTAGAAAGTTGTCCTTTCGGCGTTCCATAGTCTCAGAGAACTTCCTGGTTGTGTCTAAGCTTAGAAACTTGTACCTGTTGTCTTCTTGGGCATTAATATAATGCTTAAATTAGTGTGTGGGAGTCGTTAATAAAGTTCCTCGAATTTCAGGGTCCTGCATTATGTGACCCCCACTTAATGAATCAATTAGGCCTGTACCACTAATGACGTAGCATGGACGTAGAGACCTATATCATTTTTGCTGGGCAGCTTTCCGCTTCGATGAGCAATAATCCTATTATTTAAGGTACATCAGAGGTTACCTCGGTTGTCGGCTCTGACCGTCTTCCAATTCAGTTATCATATCTTAAATAAATACTGACAGGCAGTGTGAAAATGCCAATTTACATACCAGTCAAATAGAGTAGGCACTGTCTCGCTAGACAAGACATGTTCATTGACTACTTTGAGAATGAAGACAACTAGGTGTTACATAGGTCATACTAAGTTCCTTGTCATAATTATATGATTTAAATCATCCCTTGGGCAACAGGAAGGTGCACCAGTGTTGACTGATCACATGTAAGCCACTGGGCGGGGACTTCAATGGATGCAACGCAATTAACTTCAAAGAGTGTTTAACTACCATTGAATATGTGGTTCAACCATGTGGGTAATAAACTGTTTAAAAAGTTCAACCAATTGATAATGCAAGAGACAAGTACTGTATTTTAAATTGTATCAATTGTTGAACTTGTTTCCGATCGTCCAGGTCACACGCTGTGGTTTTACTATTCACAATTTTTTATCTTTTTCATTCGACTGTGAGCATTATTCAATAGGTGAATTTAGGTTTCCAAAAATAACACCCTTTTCTCTTGTCTATTAGTGAGATTACTATTAAGAGTAAACTTGCCAAGGACAATGGCGGAATCTTGAATTTAAACGGCTGGATAATAGGCAATACTTGTAAACCCTCTAAATTAGACATAAAAGGTGTTTATTAGCAAAATTTATGGATGATTCGCTTGGAATTGATAAAATTGCGGTTTATTGTCTGCGAATAATCCATCGCAAAGCATACGCGTGTAGAACCGTCAGTAATACGCCACAATCAGACCCACTGAGATAATAAATTAGAAATCCATTGTAAGCCACATTGTACCTTTGGAAAGCACTGCAGCATGAAGACCGAACGCGGATAACGTTGAGAGTTAATCTATTGTATAGTGTATTGGTTATTATATTGTCTACATCCTTAATATCTGGCGGCAACGAATACTTTTTTTTTACAAATTTATGTAGCAATTTTGGGCTTATCGAAGTTAACAACTTGAAAGGAAAACTTAACCGTGCCCAGCACATTTGGAATGCATTACAGCTGTCATTCATGTTTTTTCGATAAACTCTTGCCAAATTGTTTGACATTCCGAATCCGAATGGACGATACACTCCTCAAAAACAGTTTTTTAGTTGTTATTTTAAGATTAAATGGGATCATACCTTGTACGTGTTATAATTTCAAAACTTCTATACACCTCAAACAGCGTTTGATTACTGTATACGTTACCGCTCTTGATGATTATTTAAACTATGGTTCTTGAACTACGAGGTTTCAAAGTTATTAATAAATTATGTTACATATTAAATTATTGTGCGTGATATTGTCTATCCGTACACGTCATAGTTGCGCGTGCGTTTGTCACGCGTACCTGCATGTTTACTCGTACATGTGTCACTCTTACGGTAAATTCAGGACTACGCAATGCGCATCACTGCTAATTAGAGAATTTATTGCTCAGGATGTTTTATTTAAACCAGACCTAGAGGGATGAATCCCACCAAGAAATTAGGCAAGACATCAAGTCTTTAGAGAATCCCTTCAATTTTTACGATAAGGGGGTACAGTGGCGACTTTATGTCTACAGGGTGATAGTTCAATGATTGATGTAAGTCATATAAATATAAAATCGATTGAAGACGAACTCATGAGTTGAATACACGACATATTCTACCGACGAAAGGCAAATTGTTAAGTCATGTTTATTTTCATTGACGCTTCTTTTAGTGTCCATTTGAATTTAGTTATAAACTGATGCAACCAGTTACCATTTCTGAGTCACGGTTTTGAACTAGACTGCACTTATAGGTCATGCTGGATTCGATGAAAAATGATATAAACGTGTTTTGGGTCAGAATATAAAACCATTAGAGAGTTACAGAAATTGCTGCTCAGCAAATGGTTTCGTTTTGTAAGATATCAGTAGCAAAAAATTATTCAGATACAAATATGCGTTTAATTGTCATCTGATTTCAATTTACAAGATACCATAAGTATACTGAAAGTTTTATCACGATTTTATTAGTCTATTATGATCACACAACATAAACAATCTTCATAAAAATTGTCCCTTACCGACATAAACTAATCCTACTAAACGCGTACTAAATTACGGACGCGTCACCGACACCTCACTCAAACGCCGAAAAGGCGCGCAAATTTAGCATACACATCAACACACAAATATTTAATAACTTTAGCCTATTTCTGTTTTCAGAAGTTAAGAGAATTGAGTTACCAAGTAAACCCAAGAGAAATGATAGAATTTGCATTTAAAGTGAGCAAGGAAGAAGCGTATGCAATTTTCCACGAAGCCTACAACAGAAATAGAGATAATAATTCAAAAATATCTCACATCGCAGCTGAGTTAGGTAAGGAAATTAACAAACAAACACAATCAATGCGCATTAATTTTGTAGGCCTCCTAACCGTACGGTAACTCTCGATTTTTCCCGGGAACAATTCAAAATAAACAACCATAGCCAATGATTATGTTGGCATTTTTTAAATTACCAATTATTTTGTCCTAGCCATAGATTTCTATGGTATGGTATGGTATAATATTTGTATTTTAGCATAGATATCGGACAGACAGTATACTCTGCATATTGTATGAAAACAGTATAACATGGTGTATTGTTCGAAGACATTTTTTGAAGCACAAAATTATGTTATAATGCTTCACACGTGACGTTCCATAGGTAAAAATGGCCCCGGTAAAAATGGCCCCGGTAAAAATGACCCCAAATGACAAGTAGGTAAAAGTGGCCCCAATGAAAAAATCAGTAATAGAAATGAAATTTTTTTTTAATCTCAAATATTTAAATACTGCAATAAGCAAGAATTGAATCATTAAATACAAAATGGCCCTCAATTATATAAAAAAAAAATTAAATGCTGTAAAATACACTGTAGCAAAAATTGAATTAATAAATCAACATAAACCATGCATATTTGAGAACTAAAATACCCTGCTGATTGATTAATTAATATATCTTTTTTGTATGGGCGGCTGTTAGGTATAGGTATTTTTTTTTTATTATTATTAGGTATTGTTACTATATTAATGGTATTGCTAAATCCCACAACCCTCCCAAGAAAACACTGTAGAAAACCAAACAATTCAATTGTGATTGGCTCACTTGGTATATCGATAAGAAAATTAAATATTCATAAGCACCTATTTTTTGGTTAAAATGTTGATTTTTTTTTTGTGGAAAAATACTTGCAAATACACCACAAACCTCCAAACACACTGTGAACCCCATCCAAACACTTTAATTATGATTGTAGATGATTTTTCTTAAAAATAAAAAATACCCGGATTATATTTCTGGAAAATTGTGATTCCGCTTCCGTGAAATTGGCCACAAATAAACTATTTTAGTATCAATAAATGCATGATTTATGTTGATTTATTGATTATGTTGTTGCTATTGTTTAACATTTAAATGGAGAAAAAATTAAAAGTGTTATTCATGCCTTTTTTTATCTTTGAATATTTTATCATTGAATATGTAATATAAATGGCAATTTATTTGATGTTAGATTCCTTTTAAAAAATAAATTATTTCAGTTTAAAAAAATGCATATAATGATTGAAAAAAATCAGTTTTAATACAGAATTTTATTATTGGGGCCATTTTTACCTACCTCTCATTTGGGACCATTTTTACCGGGGCTATTTTTACAGGGGCCATTTTTTCCGGAGACGTCCACCAAGGCTCGGGCCCCATGAACTCGTATTGTAAATAATGTATAAAAACTGAAACCCGTTGCTTGTTTGTCGTTTTTAGTAGCGATATGCAGTGTGAATAACATGAATTATCACCTGTGCATCTGGGACTCGCAGGTTTACCGCACTCGACATAGGGGGTCTGCAGCCTAGCCTCCATTGAAAATTTCCTTTTTTAGCCATGTAGTTAATTATATAGTTCCATTATTTTACTAAGGCTTCAGTTATAGACAAGGAGATTAGAATTATTGATTTCTTTAAATACCAGCACTGGAGTATGGAATGCGGATAATCGCGACACAGTTAATTCATTTTATGGTTAGATGTCCAGTTTGAATTAACTACAATTAATCAGTCCGCAAGTCAGACAAACTAATCAATGTGCCCAATGTGCATTTACATTGTACATAATAAGTATGTATTATTAAATATATAATAAATACGGACTGCTATACATAAATGATTGATTGTAAGACATAAACATAAAAGCTTATAATAAGTAGGCCTTTGTGTTTCCGTCTATTTTAATAGGCCTATGTATAATGTAACTGGAAATAAATTGTTTTTGTCCTCTCCAGAACTAGACGGACTTAGTACAAAAGCAAGCAGCACAATGTGCAAAAAACCATTGCCAAAAGTGGTTAATATGTATGACATATTAGGAATCAGTAAGAACGTGGTACTGTCCCCTGCTGGAATCGCAGTGAATAAGTGTAGTCCTGATAGTGGGTGCTGTCCGCCTGATGAAGAGTGCGTAGCATCTGAATTCCGCACAAAAAACTTCACAGTAAGTATGTTTTTCGTTTATACAACTTCCTGGTACGATGAATATTCGGTTTCATCCTCCAGGCTAGGAAGGCGCGTTTTTGAAATAGATCAAGAATTTAAAAGAATATTCCTAATATTTTGTAATTAGTGTTTACACCCACGGAGATAACATAAACAAATTTCCAATAACAGAAAATATGAAAAAGTCACGACATTAATTTGGCCGAAAGGACCGTATTTGTGTTAACTGTGTCCATGTTATTACTATTACCCGCATTTGTACGTGTCGGTATATTATGGTAAAGTGAATGACCTCGAAGCTGCGGATCTAGCACCCAATATTGAGGATGGTTAATGACATGTGTCAATTAGTGTCATTGAAGTCTGAACAGGTTACCTCGGGCAGCCACGCTCCGCTAGCCTAGTATTAAAAAGAAGAGAGTTTGTTTAGACTTTAACAATGGACAGGTTCTACAATAGACAGCCCGCCAACAAGAAACACATCCCCCATAATGGAGCGTATCCATATTTCTCCTCTCGATAAAATCCTCACCCTATACACACGAAAGCGATGTTGATTTACATCCCCGTCTTTTGCAAATATATAAATGACATTATCATAAAGGGACCCGGATCAAAATATCAGATTTAGTCTCATATAGAAAACCCTCTTCTAATCTGATTAAATCTACCTTTAGTTCTATTCCAAACCACAACACGCGTAGTTCTGGTGCCGTATAGCCTTCTAATCTAATGCCTCCTAATCCTGTAAACCTGATAAACAGAGTTGGTAGCCTGCTCAACATAGGACAACTGACGTGATCTTGGTTATTGTATCAATAATATAACCAATGATTACTATTAATTTCTTACTAATGTTTTTTTGGTTAATCGTTTCCTTAGTCAGCGACGAAAGGCCACTGGTAACCTTTGCTTATAATAATTGATTAAATAAAATATGTATACCGATAGGCCTCTTTCTGATCTTAATATTAATGATTTACCTTAAGCATGTATAGGTATATTTACTATGACTGCAAATTTAGAGTTAAACAAAAAGTTCCACTCAATATTGTTCCGTCTTGTTTTTGTCCTGTTGTTTGTGACTAGTTTAGGTTTAGGCGTTACAATTTAACATGCAAGATCTTGACGTGTTTAACATTAAAAGTACATTTTTATATCAGGGGCAGATTTAGGGGGCGGCCCCGTTCCCCCTTTTTGGAGGTAAAAAAAAGAAAAAAAAAGAAAAAAAATAATAGCCCAGAACGCCTCAAATGTTTTTTTGGGCGTCCAGAATACAAAAATTCGAGGGGGTATGCCCTGGACCCTCTAGAACAGTGTTGTCTCGATCGGCCCAACTTTCGCCCCCCCTCGGCCCCCCTTTCGGCCCCCCCCCCCCTTTTGACCTCTCTGGATCCGCCCCTGTATATATTATAATAATTTAAATTTTATCACATACTTTGATCATCTTAAAACGTGTCATCAAAGCCGTGACAGGATGCTGTGGAGTTTTGTGTTTGAAATAGACACTTAACTATGTAAAAGTTATATTATAATATGAATAAAGTTTTTTTCTTATTTTTGTTTGTATTTAGTATTTGCACATAGAAAATGGAGAGTTAACGGTTCGGAGACACAGGGTTCTCGAAGATGCCCGCTGCACTTGCCAGAAAATCCAACCGTTTTCTTCTGGCCAATACTCGTCATCAGTTCCAAGAGCTGAAGAATGTGGAGAAAACCAGGAGTACGACTACACTACTGGTTTGTGTGAAGAAGTGGAGGAGGAGGAGGAGGAGAATGGCGTAGAAGAATATGAACAAGATTGTCCGGAAGATAAGACGTTTGATAAAGTAACGGGCAGATGCGAATGTTCAATCATATGTCCCACAGGAACTAGTATAGATCCTTCTAACTGTGTTTGTGAAGACATGCCAAAACCCCTTCCAACGACCACGTGCGAATTTAACAGATGCCCGAAGCCGTTTCACTTGAATAGGACGGCCTGTACGTGTGACTGCTATGTGGACGATAGAAACTGTGAAAAAATTAAAACAGGGAAAAAGGAAGTAAAAGAAAAGCATTGTTTGTAAGTACTTAATGTTATTATTTATGTGCAATAACAACTCAGTTTCACTTTTCTCAAGATCGCCTCCATGTTTAATCAAATGAAAAGTTGATTTAACTAGGCCTATAGTTTTATTGGTAATTGTTGGTCAGTATTTATATACTGTGCGGCGTTGATATAATATAGGCCCTAAACATTTGTTCACTAATATATTGATTGAATGATTTGACTTTTGACTGATGTATCGATGGTTTGATTGACTGATATAGCTTAGTGAGTTTGTTAGTGAGTAGATGTTTCACTGGCTTAATATTTTGATTGATTTTAAATTATTTTGGATGCGATTGATTTCTATTGTAATTGATTTTTAAGATTTTAAATTTCTTTGATTTTTATTGATATGGTCAATTGGTTTATTGAACAATATACTTTTGCAATGGTGTTGTATTTATTTGCCGTGACATATTTGGGCCACTGTACTTCTTGCATTAATGAAAAAGGACCTGGATGTATGCACAACATTTACTTTGGATGCTTTAATTTTTGCAGGAATGTTCGTCGTTCGCGTACGTATGGTACGCCAACGTGCATAGAAGGAACTTTTTTCAATTCAACACTAGGGGTATGCAGATGTGAAGATTTATTATGAGACCAGCTATAGTGACGTAATGTACCTTACTACTTGAGATGTCTTGGAAAGTCAACCAATATTTATTAAATTTAATGTACAGTCAACAGCTAATTTAAAATAATATATTTTGTAAATGGAGAGGATAAAACCTTGAAGAACGCACAACGACAAATGTTACGATTGCCTCCGATTGCGAAGTGTGCCTGCGTTGCCACGCGTACTGCCTCGATTCTTATCCAATATGGAACGCCAAAGGGTTAAGGTCACGAACCATATTGTGATTAAAAGCAAGTGGAGTACAAACAGACGTCGCTGTGTTACCGATCGTGGCAGTAATTACTAGTTCGATGGAAGTTGCTGGAAAAAATTCTCCAAATAGGTTGGACATAAATCTGAATAAAATCTGCAGTTCCGCCGAAGATATCCAATCGGAAGGTTCTTAGAAGAGCTAATGTTGATGACACTTACTAGATTATTTTTAAAATGTATGAGTAACTATGGACATATCGCAAAAAAATACTCAATCGTTTAAATTTGAGATGTGCATCTATAGACACAGACAGTTAGGGCTCTTGTCTCGGGGGAACTGCCGATCCAAGAGCCCGCGCGGATGACATATTTCCGGCGAGGCCTCAATGCGTGAGCTGAGGCTAGAATTCAAGGACGAGAAAATGCTGTATAAACTATTTTGGAAATAAGCAAGCAAAGCATTTCTGTAGGATATTTGAAATAAAGTGTGGCCTATCAATTCAATTTGGCTTGCCTGTAATCTCTTTGTGCCAGTCGCACTTTTCCATGTTTAGTGTAAAACTGTGGTGCGATATGTGCGAAGAAACATTTGCCTAAACATTAATGTTACCTTTTCCAAGGATGGGCGGATACGATGGTGATAAACTAGTCGTACAGATCGGCATTGTTCATGTTTTTAATTAAAGCCGCATACTCGTCAGCATGACTTGTTCTCTAGTGTAATCAACAAAATATGAAAGGACACGCGCAGTTTAAGTTGCTTGTTGCACTGGTAAAAATAGACCTAGCAGTTATGGATGTAAACGTTACTAGAGTTTGAAGTAAAGTTTAAGGAGTTGATGCTTAGACTCCATATCAGTATCACGTATTATTTAGCTTACATATGTGTAATACATGAGTTATTACATCTTGTATCTATAACTTTAGGAACGTAAGATCATCAGTATACGCAAAAAGTTTATAAATTTAATTTAATTTTATATTGTCACATGTTTGACTTTTTAATTTAGGAATTTTACAACTTTAGGTTTATAAGTCAGGGGAGTTAAAAAGAAAGATAAGTGAATTTGTTATAATAAATACTTATCTGAGATATTATGGGCTTTTTATTTATTAAATCTTTTAAAATAATAGAGCTGTTTGTGCATTGGGTAATTTATCGCTATAAGGATAACGGTAGGCCTAAGTAAATATGTATATACCGTATGAATATAGTAGGTCGTAGGCCTAAATCATCAATGTGGAGATAATATAGGTAATGTCTCATACCTGGCGTTGTGCACGGCACTAAAGATATGAATTAGACATTATGTTAATGAGTAACTTATTTAGCACAATTAAAGATGCGAAGATAAGAGAAAAAATTATATTTATAATAACCCAAAGAAAATGTTTATTGCAGAATGTATTATTAAATCAAAGTAAACCTTAGATAAATATGTAGAAATAGATTTACGTTTATGAACAGAATGATGTGATGTATGCACAATACATTTTTTTGTATTGACATCTTTGTCATTTTGTCAATGTTCACGAGTATACCTACTTCCCTAAACAATATACTTAAAATTATGATACTCGTATTTAGGATGTCACAATATTATCGTTATTATTTAAATATTTATCATTTAATAATAACAGTGTTACGTTTTCAAAGTCTATTATATTATTGTTATTATCAGGGAGTTGTATTACCTGGTTGTTATCCCTTCTATTATTATTGATTGCTAATGTTATTGTTATTCATTGTTGATAACATTTGCTAGTAGTAGTAAAATGATATTATTTATACAGTGGTATTTTTTATTATTTTTTCATTTTATTTTGTTATAATGAAATATTACTACAAGTTTTATATTTATAATTGTTTTTATTATTGCCATTTGCAAATATTTGATGCTATTTATAGCGTCCCACTTCAATAACCCTATTTAAATAGGTTGTGAATATAGGCCTATATGTAGGCCTTTACAAATATTACGTTTTTATAAGAAACTTTTGAAATTTTCAGAGTAGGCCTTTCCCAACATAGGGTATCTGCCAACATTAACACCACCTGGGATTCTAATCCGCCTGGCCGATTTAGGAAGTCTACATGTTTATGCTTCTTGATATTACATAGTTAATTATAAGCAAATTAAAACGCAGTCTTAATATGAGTTTACGAAGACATTCAAGGACGCTAGAAGGATGTGATCAGGTCAACGTATAAACTTAGTTAACGAGTTTGCTTCGTCTGTCCTTGATGAGAAATGATTTTTCTTCATAAAGCATACATGAATAATGTTTAAAATCAATTTCGATATTATTGAGTAGATGGTCTATGCGTTTTAATTACTTAATTGTGTTTTTTTTTCTTTCAAGAATTACAGTAGGTCAAAGAAAGTTTTCTACATATTCACAACAAAAAATTGATTAAGATAATTGTGAAAATGTCGATTTTTTTAACGTCAAAAAAATATAAAGAATAGGTACATTTCAGAGAGAATATAGGACTAAAACAACGATTAGGGCCTATGTTCTTATGGTACATTATAATATGGTATTTATTTAAGATTCTTCATATCCAGCCATAGTGGAGGGCGGGGGTTGGTTGGTGAATGATGAAAATGATGTATGTGTAAAGTACACGATAAATTATGCATATCACCTTGGTGCATACAAGAACAATAAAGAAATACATTGTGAATGTTGTGATTTTTCTGTTAGTATCATCTACTGTAAGTGTATGACTCAAAAGTGGATGGCAAAAATAATTGGTTTATTGCTGGTAACGTCTATAAAAGGAATATGCTAACGTTGCTGCTGCCAAAATAAGTGCCGCATAATGCAACAAACCAATAGCGAGCACAGAAATAATATTTTTTTTTTTAAATAGTGTGAATGTACTCTTTGCGTGCGTGTCAAAATTAATATAAGGACAATGCTTGGATGTACTGTAGTTTATTTTTATGAGAACAGTATAAAACCTTCTCGTGTTCATGTCGAATATCAAGGTATACAGTAATAATATAAACGAACACCAAAACGACTTGCCTTACATAAAGCGATGATGATGGTATTCTTGATGATGATAATGAAAATGAGTTTTTTTTTCCTCTCAAATAGCCTCGGCTGGCAACAATTTTACAGGAAGACCTGCTTTGAACTTCAACCCGTGAAGTGCACCCACCCCTAAATGTCATTTTGTTTGGATATTAGAGATTCACAGGAATGTCGTGTTCTATTTACTGTATTGATTTTGCCTCTATTTCTGATTCACTCGTATTATTAATAGAGGTTAAATCCAAGGCAAATACATCAGTCCATAACTTGACAGTTGGTTGCGGTTTTTGTCGCATTTTATAATATCAATAATGATATGGCATTTTCTTTTAGATGTCATAATAGGGGTCAATTTATGAAAAGTCTGTAAAGATGGAACTATTCCCCATGATGTTTTACGAGGCATTATCATCAATGATAAACATAATAGGCCTATCAGACATTTCATTGCACGAAGAGGTGAGAGATTAAGCCAAGCCTTGTATTACTCGGGTTCGCATGCCCTTCTGTGCTATTTATTTTCAATGCTTTTATTACACAAAATACCCAGAAAACCTTGCATAAATAGATGTATTTTTAAAGAAATAATAATATCGGGGTATGCCTAAATCCAGACCACGGCCTACTAACGGCCGCAGTACCGGTAAGCCTTTGACAAGTAAAAATCGAATATCTTTTTTTTTTTTTTTTTTTTTTTATTTATTTCCAAACCAACAGCAAAAAATCGCCACTTACAGGATGGACATAAAAAATATAGTATAAACTCTAAAAATACGGAAAAACAGTCAGGACAATCAATAGTACATTCTAAACTATAACAGCAACCCCACCAAGCACAAAGAATCAAGAAACAAAACGCAGTAACAAGGGCAGCTTAAACCAAGATACTTTTTAACATGAGAGTTTGGAAATGTTTAAAACTGTCAAAAAAGATATCAATGTTACTATTTTTAGAAACAATACGATTGTAAGAAGAAGGTAACCTAAAAATAAAACTCCGTTTAAAAACACAAACACGACTGAAAGGAACATCAAAAACATGCGAAGACCGTAACACTCGACAATTAACATGAAGACCGAACAGATGAACAAAATTAGAACTATAGTGTGAATTAACACATCTAAACAAAAATAAAATATCAAACAGAAAATATCTCTCAGTAGGCGGCATGAGACCACAAGAGTACCCAAAACAGTTGACAAAAAATCTGTTAAATTTAAAATAAATTTTGTCAATACGATTTAATTGAGAATTGGAGGCCGAATTAAAATAACGCAACAATACTCTAAATGTAAGGAAACTAGGGTACGATACAGTGATATGATAGCTTTTAGGACCCTTAATATTCCGACAATTTCTCCAAATAAAACCAAGCATTCTGTTTGCCTTGCAAATAATTTGGTCAACATGTTTACAAAATGATAATTTATGGTCAATGAAGATCCCAAGATCACGATGAAACAAAACTCTCTAACAAAACGTCCGCAATCCTATAATTAAAAAGAACAGGTTTATTTTTAAGGGAAATAGACATAAATTTACACCCCAGCGCCTACTCCAACGGAGTACAGCATCCAGATCCTCTTGAAGACACCTGGCATCCTCCTCGGTACTGACAACACGATACAGTTTTAAGTCATCAGCGTACATAAGGCAGTGTGAGTTATTGACAAAATTAGGGATATCATTAATAAAAAAGTTTTTAAAAAGAGGTCCTAAAATGGATCCCTGCTGTACACCAGAGGGTACATGCTTCCAGTCAGAGTAAATACAGTCAATAACCACACGTTGACTACGATTATTTAATAACTATTAATTAAATCATAAAGAGAACCAGAAATACCAAAATTTTTAATTTTAAAAAGAAGTTGTCGATGCAACAGACGGTCAAAAGCTTTAGAAAAATCAGTAAAATTAACATCACATTGTGTTTTAAAATTAATTGCATTGAGGGCAGTAGGACGAAATTGGGTTAGATTGGTTTGAGTGGATCTACCAGGAATGAACCCGTGCTGCAGAGGACTGATGGCAGGAAGGACATGTTTAAAAATTCCGTTAAAAATAATACGTTCGAAGATTTTGGAAATTGAGGAAAGCAAAGACATAGGCCTATAGTTAACAATTTACGGGGGCAACCAGTTTTGTGAATTGGGCAAACATTAGCTTTCTTCCATTGGTCAGGGTAAGTACCTTCAAGTATCGATTGATCAAACATTTTTGAAAAGGAAAAGCAAGAGGGACAGAAAATTTCTCTTCGGAGAATTAAACCTGGACGAAAATAATGTTTTTTTCTAATAGGCCTATATACTTATTATTGGTACTTAAACAATGTTTCTTATATTCTGTTTTCTTACACTTTCCAGATTGTTTTCGAATAATATAATAGTCTAGTATAAATATTGTTATTGTTATTTTATATGGTTTTAAGATTTTATAATCTCAAATGACTACTTAGGCCTGATAGATAAAAATATTTTCGTTCATACAGGTCTCCCTTTAATTAAAGACCACTTCATGGACCGGGGTTTCAATGGTCTTTAACAGCTTTAATCTCTAATAAGAATAATAAAGATAAAAGACAATTGTTAATATGAGACCACAGAAAAATGGTCTTAAATTGGAGTTGGTCTTTTATTGAAGGGTTCTTTAATTAGAAACACCTGTATTTTATTTTATTTTTTTATTAAGTTTCAGGATGGACCTCTCCTCCTTTTAACTTTTCTTACTGACAGAGTCAACTGCCAATAGGAAAACGGTAACAAATGTTGTGTTAAGAACGTGACTAAAATGTGTAAATTGCACAGTGTTTCTTAATAATTATAATTTCTCACATTATTTTAGTTCGTGTGTGATTCCGGTGGGTACTGTTAGGCTCGAGTTTATAACTTTTTCATCACTTTAGAATAGTATTTATTGTCCCAGAGCACAAGGAACTATGGAAACTCAGTACAGACCAATTGTCCCATCTCCACCAGTTCAGGGCTACGTCGAGCAGAATTTCGACAGGTGTATATCACCTAATTGGTTGTCAGTACGAGACTTGGACTTGAATCCCAAGACGAACATTCTATTAGTTTTATATAAACTTTTGAGTGATCGTGATATACATCTCTACAATTATATTGTTTAAAGACTCTGAGAAATTCCACAGATCACATAAATTATTTCAAGAAAACTCACCTGCTCGGACTCGTATGGTGTTACATAATTTGTTTTTCTTTTCCCAACTGGTAATATTTACAGTGCCACATAGACCCATATTTAATGAAGATACAGTAAGTCGGTTTTGTCGTAGAACCTATTTGTGCCATTCAGGATTTTAACCTAAGAGCCTTCGATTAAAATATTAATAAGCTTTAATAAGCTTACTAGAACCAGTAGCGGATTCAAAAGGGGACAGTTCCCCCTAAAATTTTCAAAATCATAAATAAAAAGGGGGAAAGGATTCAAAATTATAATTAAATTTAGGTCTGGCAGTGCCATTTCCAGCCATCTAGATGTGCCATAATCATACAATTTCTTACCTCAGCTCAACCATAGGCCTAGTGGAACTGAGGTGGTCTAGACCCTACCTGCGACCCGCCTCCCCACCTCCTCTATTTCGAATTCCTGGATCCACCACTGAGAACTATCTCTATATGCATGCCTCTTTATGGACATGAAATAGTAATACGTTTTTAATACTGAATCGACGATGTAAGATATCTATACTGTCTGGCCGTCTCGTCTATGTGAGAATTAATCCAGTGGAGATATTTTTTTTATTTGAATTCTTATTGTGTAGGTGTTACGTTTTTGTGTTTGTAATAATAGGCTTGGCCTATATAAAAGGCCTAATTATTTAGGCCTATTTAAAATACTAAAAAGTATGCAAACTAGGTCTATCTAGTGACTGGTTGACATGTAGCATTAATTAGCATCAACAAGTAGGCTTATTACTGGTAGTAAAAATCAACAGAATAATTACGCCTACAGTAATTAGTTTGGATTTTAATTGGATTTTGTCAGTGAGACACACACCAAGGATACGGAACTTATTTCCATTGGATTGATCGATCGATTAAACAATTAGTCCAGCAACTAATGAATCAAATAATCTTGTTTGTAGGTAAACTAGGCATTTCCTTGAAGACATTCCATGCTCTCTCTATGGAGGTATACTCTCTCCAACGAGCCTAAGCTAAGCCCCGCCCCTTGGATGTTGTTGCTAGGATCACACAAAGCGACAACGTCAACGTGCGTTTGTAAGCCACCACTGTGTTTGCGAGACGCACGCATCTCCATGGGCCCGTTCTTATTGGTCAGATGTTGAGTTTGATTGACACTTCGAAAAGGTCCGTGCCAATGATCGTTCGTACGTGACGTTTTCTTTAACATGCACAATTGAATCACATAGGGCCAAAATAATTTGGTATACATACAGAAATAGACATTAGAATGTTCAATTTCTTTTATACGGTACCGTATTTGATTAGCTTACATACTAGGCCTCCGTTATTGAGCTTCCGGTATAACTATAGCTGTATCTTATTTTTCGCTGCTATTCTTTTGGCTTATTTGCATTTGCTTATGATGTGAATGCCCTCGAATAAAGAAAATGCCAAGTACTCCTTCTTCGAGGATAAATATACCGTACCAATAAGTGTTTGCT